AAATAAAATAAAAACTTTTAAAATAAAAATAGGTAGAATAAACCATGTAATAAACCAAATGTTGGCTAGGATGTGGAGAAACTAGATCACTCAACCACTCATATATTTTTGGTGAGAATGTAAAAATGATATTGTCACTCTGAAAAACAATTTGGCAGAGGTTTTTGGTATTTTGGGGGGTGGGACAGTTTGTTTTAAAATGAAGCAGTCACATACTACACAACCCACAATTACACTCTTGGGCTTTTATCCCAGAAAAATGAAAACTTGTGTTCACAAAAGTATCTGTACAAGAATGTTCTTAGCAGCTCTATTTGTAATTCCCAAAGCTAGGAACAACCCAAATGCCTTTCAAAGGATGAATTAAAAAACAAAAACAACAACAACAACAAAAACTGTGATACTTCTATACCATGAAATACTACTTTGGAATAAAAAGAAATGAACTAAGCCAGGCATGGTGAGATGCCTGTAATCCCAACACTCAGGAGGCTCAGGTAGGACTACCAAGAGGCCAACCTGGGCTACATAGCAAGACCTTATAAGAAAAAAGAGCTGGTTGTGGTGGTACATGCCTGCAATCCAAACACTTAAAAGGTAGAGGCAGAAGGATCAGGAGCTCACGGGTAGCTTCCACTACATATTAACGTTGAGCTATATATTGAATTTGAGGCCAGTCTGAACAACATGAGACCTGCCTCAAAAAAAGAAAAGAAGGAACTGGAGAGCTGGTTCAGTGGAGGACCTGGATTCAGTTCCCAGCACCCATATACCATCTGAAACTCCAAGGGATTTGACACCCTCTTTTGGCTTCCATGGGCACCTGCATGTATGTGCATGTACACAGAGACACATTAAAAAAAAAAAAAAAAGCAACCAAAAAACCCCAAACTTGCTCCAGCTGGGCACAGTGGTAGACACCTGTAATCTGAGTACTTGGGGAGGAGGAGTCAGGAGGATCAGGAATTCAAGACAAGCCATAGCTACATAGCAGATTTGAGGCCAGCCTAAACATGAGACGTCTCAAAACGAAAAAACAGAAACAGAAGCAAAAAGCAAAAAAAGAAAAACAAAACCCAAAAATCTTTGCCCCAAAGATTAGCAGACACACTGATGTACAAAACTCAGCAGGGAATCTGGAGAGCGAAGTGACACTCCCAAGGTCACACTGGGACTAGTGAGTCTCAGACCTCCAACCTCAGTCAAAAATTGACCTTCTTCACTCCCCTACTCTTCACCTAAACTGCTGCTTCATCCCACTGCCCCAGACCCATCTCAGGAAGACCTTACCTGACTATTGATGTTACTGTTCTTTCCAAATAGCAGGAAGCCCCCAATGAAGGCAGCCAGGAAAGAGTGCATCTGGTAGGTCTCGCCTTGCACTTGAGACTGCAGGGCACAGAGACTCTTGTAGGCAAACACAAAGCAGGCCAGGTTCTTGGAGTGGGTGTACGTGGCTTTCAGAATGGCTTGCAACTTCTCTTGGAGGCTGCACAAACAGAGAGCCCCCATGAGTGCAGGCCCAGCTGGTCCAAGTGGGCTTATCTTTGGGACATGCAGAGATCTTATCTCTATGTCCTAGCCAACAGAACTAGGCAAGGTTCTCAAGGGCTAGAGCTCATCCAGTCCTCCACAGAGGGCAGGGCAGTGCTATCTCACCAGCCTTAACTCAATGCCACCATTTCAGAGAGCCGTTCCCTGACACACCACATCAACATGTGCCCATCCCATCCCCTTATTCACTTTTCTTTTCCTTTATAGTTCTTATTATCACCTGATGTTAATATGTTGGTTTATTAAGTTCCCTCATCCCTGCCCCACCTCAGGAGACGTTCTAGTAGAGTGCTTGGTCTTGTTTATTCATCCTAAGGGCACAGACCGGGGCCTGGCACAAGCTAAGTATTCAATAAATTTTAGGTAATACATGAAAAATGAGTGTCTACTATGTGCTGGACCTGGGGCTTTGATTCTGAGAAATAACAAATCTGCCTGCTGCCTTCCTGGAGCTTATGAGAAGGAAATATAGTCACCAAGATAAGAATCAGATAATGCCTTTGGCAAGACATGGCCCTGGGATCTGAAGGATGGGGCAGAATCAATGAAGTCAAGAGAAGGGCATGTTGCTTCACAGGCAGAGGACTCAGCATATGCAAAGGCCCCAAGGACAGACAGAGAGTAGGAAGCAAAGGCTCACAGAGAGGCAGCAAGGGCCATGAGCAGAGGACGCATGAGGAGGAAGATGTGGGGGAGTGGGGGAGGTGGTACAGCCATCTGAGTTTTGTCTTCCTTTCAGGATGAATAGGAGGTGACTGGCTCTATCTTTTTTAAAAGATTTATTTTTATTTATATGTATGTGGGTGTGTCTGTGTGTATGTATGAGCACATGTGTGTGGGTGCTCAGAGAGGCCTGAAGAGGGTGTCATACCTCTTGAAGCAGGAGTTATAGGCCATTGTGAGTGGCTGGATGTGGGGTGCCTGAAAGTAAACTCTCATCCTCCCCACGGCTGAGCCATTTCTCCAGCCCCACTAGGAGGCAACAAAGACACCCCAGGGAAAGAGCAGAGTTACATCTCTCAACTCAGAACAAGGACCCTCCTGGAGAGTGGCAGGTCTGTTAGGCCCTATAGAAATCTGCCAGTTGAGTCAGAACAGCTGGAAGCAGCTGGTTCTTGGCTCTTGAGTATCCAGAAGCATTCATGGCAACAACAGTACCATTTTAAGGGCAGGAAAGCTGAATTTCAGTTGGGTATACTCCTATAATCCCAGTTTTCAAAAGGATGAGGCAGGAAGATTGGGAGGTGAAAACTAGCCTGAGCTACAGAGCAAGGTCCTAGCTCAGAAACCAAATAAATAAACCAGAAGCTGTATTTCCATGTCCAGTGGTTGAGTGCTGACACTGATCCTCCCTTCACAACATCACTGGGATCTGCCTACTCTCCTTGTCTTCCTGGCCACCCAGGAAGACATCATTGTTGCTTCCCTGTGTCACTGACACATACTCTTAATGTATACCCACTTCTGTCCTAGTGCCATTCCCTGCTCTCTCTACAACCTTTCCAACCTGGCAGCAAGTGATGGATTCTCATGTTACGAAAACATTAGTCAAATAAGTTGCACCTGCACTACCAGCTATTTGGGAGGTGAGGCAGGAGGATCACTTGAACCTTGAACTTTGAGGGCAGGCTGGACAACACAGCAAGACTTCAACAAAAAACAAAACAAAACATAAAAAACCTTCTGTAAGGAGCTAGGGAGATGACTCAGTGGTTAAGAGCACATACTGCTCTTGCAGAGGACCTTAATTCGGTTCCCAATACACATATAAAGTGGTTCATAACCACCTGTAATTCAGGCTCCATAGGATCCCACACTCTTTTCTGGCCTCTCTGGGCACCTGCACTCATGTGAATAGACATACACACATACACACACACACACACACAATTAAAAATAAAAAGAAATCTTGGGCTGGTGCAATGGCTCAGCAGTTAAGAGTACGTAGTGTTCTAGAGGACTAGAGTTTGGCTCCTACCACCCGTGTCAGGTGGCTCACAACTACCCATAACTCCAGTTCCAGGGGATCTGACTCTGTAGGCACTGGCACATACATGAACAGATGTGAACATATACACAAAATTAAAGATGAAATAAATCTTTAAAAATATAATAGGGGCTGGAGAGGTGGCTCAGTGATTAGGAGCACTGGCTGCTCTTCAGAGGACCCAGGCTCAGATCCTAGCACTCACAGGGTGGCTAACAACCATTTGTAACTCCAGTTCCAGGAGAATCCAATGCCCTCTTCTGACCTCTGTGGGCATTGCACAACACCAGTGCACTTACATACATGCAGGCAATACATTGATACACATAAAATAAAAATTTAAAAAATGTCTTTTAAATATAAAAATAGATAAATTAAAAAACAAAAAAACCTCCTGTAAGTCAAACAGTGGCAGACACCTGCTCCAAACTCTTACAATTTCCTGCTTCACTTCAAGGAAAAGCCAAACTCCTATCTCTGGCCTACAGCTGTACAAGCCTGATCCAGCCTCCTGATGGGAGCCTCTCTCCCTTTCAACCGCTCAGCTCCAGCCTCCTCAAGTTCACCAGGCATCACCCTACTGAAGAGCCAGAATGCTCTGACTCTATTTTGGCTAGCTTCTTTAGACAAGCCCAGACAAGCTCAGGCATATTGTACATGTAAAAGCCTTATAAGGTGTATTAGTCAGGGTTCTCTAAAGAAACAGAACCGGTAGGATGAATATAGTCCAACAATGGCTGCACCACACTGGAGAGGCTGAGAATCCATAGTCACTCAGTCCACAAGGCTAGATGTCTCAGTAGTCCCAATCTGGCACTGAAGGTCTGACAAATTCCAAAAGATCAGCTAGTCTTCAGTTTACAGCAGCAAGATGAACTCACCAATGAGAGAGAAGGCAAGAAGCAAGAAGCCAGGCATTCTCTGCT